AAAATCCATTAAGCTCAGAGATGAGGGATGGCTTCTTGAATTTAATTTATGTAAATAAGGACTATAATCTTCAAAGTTTAAGGAACACATGTAGGAAAATGAGATGATAATGAGATCCTAAGGAGCATTAGGAGTACTGGGAAGGAAGCCCGGAGACAACTGAAGAGTGTGTAGGGAGAGCCATTAGAGGAGGGCCACAGCTGGGTGCACAGTTTGGTTTTACACGTTCTTACAACTTAGAGCGGGAGAAATAAAGAGAAGTCAGTGCAACACCAGTAAGCTAACAAACACACTAGCCACTAGGAGCACACACACTAGCCATCAGAAACACACATGAGCCATCAGAAGCACACACCTGAGCCACCAGAAACATACACAGTAGCCATCATAAGTACACATGAACCATCAGAAAGACACACACAAGCCATCAGAAGGACACACCCTAGCTATCTGAAGCAAACACATGAGCCATCAGAAGGACACACACTAGCCATCTGCTGATTCTTTTCTTGGGGATTCAGTCCACTTTATGATAAAGTAGCTCTTAGAAAAGTCACTGAAAGCCAGGTGGTGGTGGTGGTGCATACCTTTAACCCCAGCACTTGCGAGGCAGAGGCAGGCTGATCTCTGTGAATTTGAGGTCAGTCTGGTTTACAAAGCTAGTTCCGGTTTACACAGAGAAATCCTACCTCAAAAAAAAAAAAGAAAGAGAAAGAAAGAAAGGCAAGAGAAGTGACTAAAAATGGGCCATGTTCAGAGAAAAATTTAAAGTATAAAATGGCAAGAAATGAAATGATTGTGTTTAATGGTTTAATGCTTATCACCAATTATTTCCTTTTGGTCTTGGTTAACAAAAACAGAACTTTTTCCATCCCAGGATTTCATCATTTCTAGGATGGGATTCTAACCACCAGGCAGTAGTGTGTTAATGACAAATTCTGAATTCTATTCACAATTTACTGAAAAGAATATTTCATGAATAAGTAAATTAGCTTTAAGGTCCATTGGTTCTTCTGGAGAAATATGTTGTGGAAGCCAATCCATGTCCACAAATTCCTATATGTTGCAGAAATGGCAGGCAATGATGGAGAGCAACATGAAATTAAGGGCAAATTGTGTGGTCTGGACAAACAGAGGTTCAAATCAAAGCACAGTCCTTCTGAATGGAGTGCATTGGAAGACACTGGGTGCTGCATGGGTCCAAGCTTTTCCAGTGTCCCCAGGTGCCATCTTAGTTAATCATTCTATGGGGGTTACTACAGGCATTTCACCAGTCAGAACACAGAAGCTCCAAGGGCTAAAGTAGCCAAGGGTACTTCTTGGAGACAAGTGGAAAGCCAGCAATTATGATCAGGCACAAAGGCTTGATCAAGGTACTTAATCAAGAAATTTCTATTCCTCCTTCACCAAGCGAGCATCAGTGTAGAAAATGAGCAAAAGAGCCTTTGTAGACTAATTTTAGGGGTTGAAACTCCACCAAACATTTGGTGTGATTTAAGTTAGTTACTGTAGGTCAACTTGTACCTCCATGAAACTAAAGCAAAGGCTCCAAATGAGCAACTCCACTGTGCTTTTAGTTTCTCGACCTTGAAGAGTAGGAGTGACTTCAAGTCAACCTTTAGTTCACAGGAATAAGGAGTCTCAAAGAAACCCCAGGATTTTCTACATGGCTACATAGTACTCCATGGACTTAGTCTCATGTCAAAATTGTCCATTAGGAACACAACTCATGACACATATAATTTTCTACACATTATGTACTATGTGTCAGTTCATCTAATTGAACTGACTAGTCCCTATTGGGAGCATTAAGATACACACACACACACACACACACACACACACACACCACAATCTTTAGGTTATTGTGAAGCAAATATCCTTTAACAACACACAGGATAATGCTTTCAAACAAAAGTTGTCTCAAAGAATGAAAATTGTTTTTTTCTGCTCTTACACTAGCTAAATATTCAAGATACAGACTATTAAAAGAAGACAACAAGGGGTTGAATTTTCATTCTGGAAAAGAGTAGTTTGATTTTTATAGAGAAAAGAATAGAACAGGGAACCAGCAAGATGAAGCCCCAGGACAAGGGGACTGGTAGGGTGGGGCTCCAGGACATAGACTAGCAGGTTGACAGACCAGGACATGAGGGCCAGCAGAATGGGGCCCCAGAACATGGGGGCCAGCAAGATAGAGTACCAGGTCATGGGGACCAGTAAGATCAAGTACAATGGCATAGGAACCAGCAGGATCAAGTACTAAGACATGGGACTGGAAGGATGGAGTTTCAGGGCATGGGGACCAGCAGCATAGGGCCCTAGGACATGGGGACAAAAGGATGTAGTACTAGGGCATAAGGATTTAGAAGGATCATGTACCAGAACATGGGGACCAGCAGCATGGGGCCCTAGGACATGGGGACTAGCAGGATGGTGTACCATGACATGAGGATGAGCAGGATAGATCTCCATGACACAGTGACCAGCAGCATGGACCCAGGACATGGGGACTAGCAGAATGGTGTGTCAGGACACAGGGACTAGTAGGATGGTATATCAGGACATGGTGCATGAGGCAATTTTCCTCTTTCGCTTTTGGAGGTGGCCAAATATGAACACATCCAGCATCATTCTGACACTTTCAGTTATTGCTTTCAGAAGTCAAATTCAATTACTCAATTAATAGTATGTATTTGTAAAATTGGTCCTTAATGATGGGAGCAAATATGATTGGCTTTTCAATTCAATATCAAACAATCAATGAGAGAGGAGACATTTATCAAAACATCAATTTCTTGCTCTTTGATTCTAGATAGAATTACAGACACAAAAATATCATGATTAAACAAGATGTTTATAAATAGCCAAATGAACTATATGGGTAAAAGGAAAGTTTCTGCCTTGATCAAAGCCACTTTGTTGTAGAAACTTTATAGTGACTATTTACTGGTAGTCAACTCTGAGATAAGGCTGTTTAAAGTAACTTCAGTTGTAATTTCTTACTTTTAAGTAGCTTCATGATTGTTTTTGCTCGTAAAAACAATATTCTGTGCTGAGTACTTTATATATCATGAATCCCTTTTCAAAATATTTATTTGGCCCAGCAGTTGTGGTACACACCTTTAGTCCTAGCACTTGGGAGACAGAGGCAGGTAGATCTCTGAGTTTGAGACCAGCCTAGTCTACAGAGTTCCAGGACAGCCAGAAATATACACAGAGAAAACCTGTCTTGAAACACAAACACAAAGACAAATTGTTTTTATATTATGTGTATATTCCTTTGCCTGTATGTGTGTATATATGTATGTGTGTGTGTGTATGTATGTATGTATGTAGGAACTGTGTGCCTGGTTTCCACAGAGTCAAGAGGGCACCAGTACCCTGGGTACTGGAATTATAGATAGTTGTAATCTGTGGGTTCTGGGAGACAAATCTAGATAATCTAAAAGAACAACTAGTGCTCTTGACCTCTGAGCCAACTCCCCAGCCCTAAACATAAAATGTGTATCTTTATGCATGTGATTTAATCATTAAATATCTCTACATCATTGTTTATATTTTTAAAAAGTTCTTGTATTACATTGTGCATGCATGTGTGTGCTTGCATGCTCATGAATGCACGAGTGTGCACATACCAGGGAAGTCAGGTGATAACTTATGCGAGATGATCTTTCCTTGTACTATATGTGTCCTGTAGATCAAACTCAGGTTTGATACCAAGCACCCTTACCTACTGTGGCATCCCACTGGCCCCAATGCCAGTTTTTTTTTTCACTCTTGATTTTTAGAATCTCATTAGACAAAATATTTAAGTGAAAAAAATTAATTATAAGAAACATTTTTTTAAAAAAAATGTAGGCTTACAGTATAATCTAAACATAATTTCTTATTACACTTTACTAAAAGTAACAACATGGAAAGGCATAGGCACTGCGTTTTTACTATCCCCAAGACTCTACTCTGAGAATGTTTTGCTTGCTCTTTCCTAAAAGTGAACTGAAGAACAGTCAATCTGTATAATTTGAGAACTTATATTTGAGATTTTCTGTGTTTTAGAGCTGTGGGACCAAGTTAGATCTTTGTATTGCCTTGCTTGTCCTTCTGTACATGGATAATGTGCATACTCACACATGAACACACACACCTTTACACATAAACACGTACATGTTAGTGAACACTAATGTGCAAATAACCAAGTATGTACACACATTCATATCCATATGTCAGATAACATGTGACTCCCTTATCTCCTAATTGTATGTTATGATAAATCTATTTTCAGTAATAAAACCATCAGAACATTTTCAGGAAATGAATATTACAATGGCAGAGTTAGAAATTGCTTTAAAAATACTCAAATTAAATATTTTAACTTTTCTTGAAACATTCAAGATAATGCTATGTGAAATAAAGCAAAATGTCATTTATCAATCATCTTTGTATCTTACCTTTTACCTTTATTATTTTTAAAAATCATGTTCTCAGAATTTTATTTTTTATGTGTAACTTCAATGGACTTTTCCACTGTCTGACACATTTCTTTGCTTTAAAAACAATGGAACAAAAATTTGGGTGAAAGCACGAGGCAAGCATTGCCCAGAAACTAAATGTTCCAATTATCCTCTGTCCTGCTTCTCTCTGATGTGTTGATGAATGAGGACCCAGTTAGCAACATCACACTAACACAATTCCCAAGCAATCTTTTTGGACAAGCATGCCTTAGTCACAAGAAATGAATCCAATCACAACATCCCAATTTCACATATGGAATGTTGGACGTGCCTGTCCCTCTTTAGAGTCATTAGCCAGGGGAGAATCTATTTTGACAACTAGAATACCATTTTGGAAAAATTAGAATGCAACCTTGAGGTTTTTTCTTCCCTCAGAATGAAGCAGAGCAAGATGTGTTTAATTCAGGTTGCTATGCTATAAAGCGTAGCTGAAGACCATGGTTCCCATGCAATCACAAGATGAAAGTGAGATAAATTGGCACTCACAGTTGTGGCAGGTGGCCCCGCTGTATCCCGTCTCATCACAAGTACATTTGAAGCTGTCCCATGTTTGCGAGCACTTCCCACCATGCTCACAGTGATTGGGCACACATCTGTCAGAAAAAGAGACACAGAAATAAACCAACAAGCAAATGAGATTTATGAGTGGCCAAATTCCAAGCTGTTTGGGCAATATATCATTTCAGTGCCAGGTTGCCTTGCTGAGGCAATTAATCCTTGTTAGTTTAAGCAGATTAATATGATTCATGATGGAAGGTGCCAGGCACACAAAAGATGATGTATCACTGGCCTGGTGTGTCCCCCTTTTGAATAAACCATAGACACTATCACACAGTTCATGTGTTCATTTGCATATCACAGACTCATTTTAGTTTAATTCTACAAAGGACAAAGATACCACCTAAGTTTCCTATTGGTGAGAAATGGAAGAAGAGCCATCTGACTTTTTGTTCTACTTTTTTTAAAAATCGAATTCAATAGCACTAAAAATGTGTTTGCTACAACAACTTGTGGTTCTGAAACAATGACACAGAGACAACAATGGAATATATCTGCCTGATAGGAGCCTCAAAAGTCTCCCTCTAGACCCATCTGGATAGTTAAAGATGCCTACTTAAAGTGTCTACAAGCATAAGTTAGAAGGAAAAAGTGTAATTGTACACAAAGCTCTACAAGGCAAAAGTAATTATGACTCATTAATTTTTTCTGAACCTTGATTTTCACATTGGAAAAATGAGCAATTATACTATATTGTGAATACTTTAAAAATACATAATTATTAATTTATATTTTATTTTTATATTTAACTTGATTTTTATGTATGTGTTTATATGAGTGCAGGTACCTGCAGAGCCCAGAAGAAGGTGTAGGGTCCACTGGAGCTCCAGTTGCATATGATTGTGGGCTGCCTGGGACCCAAACTTGGCTCTTCAACAAGAGCAGTAAACACTTTTAACCATCAAATCATTTATCAAGGTCCTCAAGTTTTACTCAAAAGTGGGAACATTGTACATATTAGTGGCCTCCTACACTGTTTCAATGTGCTGTTCTCTTTGTGTTATGATTAAGATTAAATATATCAATATCTTAAATGTTTATCACAGTGAAAAATATTTAAAATCTCTTCACCTTTGAAGTGTATAGAACATGGTTGTTATATCTAGTCACAATACACAAGGACTTCTTTCTCCTAGCTAACTGAAGCTTGATCCACTGATAACCTTTTCCCAGCCCTCTCTGACCCCCAGGCTCTGGTCACCAATATTTTTTAATCTTTAATGAAGTCAACGATTACAATGAGATTATATGACAACTACATTTCTGGGTATGACTTGTTTAACTCAATTAATAATCTCAAGTTCAATCTATCTCATCTCCCAGTGACAGAATTTTTTCCTTTTATAACTGAATAGAATTCCTTTGTGTACATGTACCATGTTAATTTTAGAGATAATGTCCATGAAGTTGGTAATTATTAAATAGGAACTAGAGTTCTAATAAGTGAGAACTATACCCACCTGGACCACCACTTCCCTGAAACAATTTTTTTACCTTGATTCTACCGTGAAATTATGGTTGGAATGTGATTTGAGACACACATACATCAATGACACACTTTCCTTCCTGTTCGTACCACCTCTTTGCCCATCGGACACATTCGCTACATCTTTGTTTTTTATAGTGAGCATTAAGATGCTCACAGTCTGAAAGGGAGATATTGTTATGAATTGACATTCAAGTAAGAATTTTGATATTTGAATCAGAAACACATCAAAATAGAAATTCCCTCCCAATTTAAAGCAGCAGCATCTACTGTGGTGTTTCTGCATATTGGATTACTGAGAGACCTTAAGTATTAGCTAAAAGACCTGATTTATTTTGTCTCAGAGACCAAACCTTGTAACCTTTGCTCTTGATTTAGCCTCAAGAGTACTTGTAGTAGTAGGGCATAGAGCTCAATATGACATTGTGGGTATGCTTAACAAAGTAAATACACTGTAAGTGAGAACTCTAATGAGGGTGGAAATGGGAAATAACACAAAATGGCTAAGAAACATAGTATAGAACTTCACAGGAAGCATTCAATGAACACTGCAGGCATAGTTTGAAGCTTTGAGTTGAGCATTTAGACTATGAAAGAAGAAAATAAAAGCCATTATTATTGGGTTAAAATAGAATATTAGTAAAGGTACAACCTTGGGTGGATAGAAAATTCACATTACTCTCAATAGCAACTTTCTTTTCCTGTGATGGCTCTGGTTTTATGTAGGTCACAGAAATGATCCTCGTCCAATAATCTCTGAATCTAGTTGGAGGTTTGGGTCAGAGGAAGAGTCATCCAAAATATGAGGAGTACTTGGATGAGTCATGGAACAGATATAAATGCTGCAGAAATTTGGATACAAGGTTAGTTAAAAGTGGAGGTTAGAGGGTTTAACTAAGTTGGGGATATTTTATTTGCATCTTAAAAGACATTTTAAAAGTATTTTTTTTAAGTGGCTCTGGCAGAACAGAAAAGAAAAGTGATGGGAATGAAGTATAGCAGCAAGTGACAGGTTGTCCTGGTTTGTTCCTATTGGCTATTTGCACAGACCCTGGTACACTGCATACCCCCAGCATGGCCCCTCCCTGCACGGCAGGTGCTTACAAGAAACTGCCCTCATTTCCCACATCATGGGAGAAAATTAATGAATGGAAACTCCTGACATCACAGAAAAGCATGTTTGATACTTAATCTTGAAATTCAGTAAAGGCATACCCTTTTGGTGGTATATTTAACTTTCCAAATTCTCTTGGGTTAATATTAGCTCAGTCTGGATGTTAAAGTCATTTACATCAGCTCATCACACCAATTAATTCAGGGGAAGGCAGTGCAGAACTGGGCAAGGGAAACCAAATTGGAAACTAAGTATGCTTTCAATAATGTTCCTTGGAGAATGATAAAAACGTAAGTGTGAATTTAACCCCATGAGACACATAGAACCATCACAGGAGCAAAGGACTAATTGCTCCTACCAGTTTGCAGAATGAATTTTTTTTAATTAATTGTTTTTACTAAATAGAATTTTCATATTTTATTTTAAATATTTGCTTCTCATTGTTTCTATTTTTAAACTGGTGTTCTCCTTCTGTAGATTCTAATTCTTAATGGTAGGGCATTAAATAAATTTCCAAAACAAGTTGATTCATACGTTACGTCACACCTAATATCTTATCACTGCATTTCAAACTACTAGGACCAGTTACCAAGAGAAATGAAATAAATTAACCTAATATTCTAATTAGCGTTTCTTATCTTGTATTCCTGTAGAACTACTTCCATGTGTCCAATGCACTGTTATGATGTCCTCTAGTAATTAGTTATTGGTGTATCCATCTCTTCTACCTGGATGTTCCCATAGCAAAGTGTGTTTACTTACCATTCTTTGCATAATGAAGTGTCTATTCCATGCTCAGAATGACTGGAGAGAGACTCAGATGCATGAAATGCCACCTAAGTTTTACCACTATGCACATAAAAATCACTTCAGAGGCAATGAATCATCTCCTTGACTCAGAGGAAAACAGATTAATTTTACCTAGGTTTTTAGTCTTAAACACACATTTGCTCTAATAGACCATTTATTTTTATTTTTTTATTGAGAAAAGGAGAAAAAAAAACAAGTTTCCACCTCCTCCCAACTTCCCATTTCCCTCCCCCTCCTCCCAACCTTTCCCCCCTCCTCCTACCCTTCTCCCCCTCCCCCCACTCCTTTCCCTCTCCCTCTCCAGTCCAAAGAGCAGTCAGGGTTTTCTGCCCTGTGGTAAGTCCTAGGTCCTCCCCCCTCCATCCCTATCTAGGAAGGTGAGCATCCAAACTGGCTAGGCTCCCACCAAGCCAGCACATTAAGTAGGATCAAAACCCCGTGCCATTGTCCTTGTCTTCTCATCAGCCCTCATTGTTCGCCATGTTGAGAGAGTCCAGTTTTATCCCATGCTTTTTCGGTCACAGTCCAGCTGGCCTTGGTGAGCTCCCAATAGATCAGCCCCACTGTCTCAGTGGGTGGGTGCACACCTCGTGGTCCCGACTTCTTTGCTCTTGTTCTCCCTCCTTCTGCTCCTCATTGGGACCTTGAGAGCTCAGTCCAGTGCTCCAGTGTGGGTCTCTGTCTCTATCTCCATGCATCACCTGACTGGGAGAAGATCTTCACCAACCCCGCAACAGACAAAGGTCTGATCTCCAAAATATATAGAGAACTCAAGAAACTAGACTTTAAAATGCTAATTAACCCAATTAAAAAATGGGGCACTGAACTGAACAGAGAATTCTCAACAGAAGAAGTTCAAATGGCCAAAAGACACTTAAGGTCGTGCTCAACTTCCTTAGCAATCAGGGAAATGCAAATCAAAACAACTTTGAGATATCATCTTACACCTGTCAGAATGGCTAAAGTCAAAAACACCAAGGATAGCCTTTGCTGGAGAGGCTGTAGAGGAAGGGGTACCTTCATCCATTGCTGGTGGGAATGCAATCTTGTGCAACCACTGTGGAAGTCAGTGTTTCGGTTTCTCAGGAAATTCAGGATCAACCTACCCCTGGACCCAGCAATACCACTCTTGGGAATAATAGACCATTTTTTAGGGGGCGATGGGAAATGTATAATTTTCTTCGTGGTGTGTGCTAGCTTAAAAGTTTGATTCACATCAAAAATAAATCAAAATGATTTGACTGCTTCAACCTGAGAAGGCTTTGGCCTAGGACTGGGGACATGCAGGGCTGAAGTTGGCAGGTGCTGATTTGTTCTGATCAGAAAGCTCTGGAAGTAGTAGTGCATGCAATTACACATTCCTGACAGCCTGCTGTCCCAGACTCTTTTAGCTAGATTTTTCCTTCCAGTTAAAGTTTTACATAGTGCTTTAGAATCCAAATGCATTCTTTAAGCTATTTTTTTAAAATCTGTTTCTTGAGGATTTCATGTATGTCCATGATGTATTTTGGTCATATTTTACTACCTCCAGCTCTTTCCTGGTCCTTCCCACATCTTCTTCTCAACTTCATTTCCCCTTTCTTCTTAATAATCCATTGAAACCAGTAAGTGCTAGTCATCATTCC